GCAGCTCTGCTGGGTACACGGCGGAGCGCGCGCGCGGCCCGCAGCAGCCGAGACCAGGCGGGCAGCTCCCAGAGCGCGTGGGGGGCCGCGCAGCCCCGGGAAGCCTGCCGGCCATTCCCCAAATCAGAGGGGGCGCTTCCCCACCAAGAGAGACCGGCCCGCCCGCGCCCCAAGGCCTTTGAAAACTCGACGGCGCTTGGGGGACGCAGACAGTTCACAGGAACCCTCCGACCACCCGGCAGCCCCGCCCGAGGCCACAGCACTGAGGTGGCCAATCAGAAGGCCGCGAGAGAGCGCCTCTTTCTGCCAGCCAATGGGGGAAACGAACGGCGCAGTGGCTCTACCCGGGGAGCCAATCGGAGCACGCGGAAAGAAATTATCCTCGGCCGAGGGGGCGGGACTGCCAGGCGGGACCCGGGAGAGGCAAGGCTCCAGGTTCCGAGGGTCCCGGGCGTCCCAGGGGTCCCAGGGGTCGCCGGGGCCGGCCTGGCCCGCGTCTCCCACTCCGCGCAGGGCCTGCGGGCCACTCACCTATGACGGTCCGCGCCGCCGAGACGATGACCACGGGGTCCGAGCCTGCACTCATGCTGCCACAAGACCTCTCCACACGCAACTGTGGACCCGTCGCTCCCGCAAGCGAGGAACAGCCCCCTCTGACGCCGGCGGACCACGCAGCGGGGCGGAGCCGCAGGCCGCCCCGCCCACCCGCAGGCGCTGGTGCGCAGGTGCGAGGGTGGGCGAATGGGGCGGGGCCTGGGGGCAGGGAACCCCCACCGAGAAACCAGCCACCACCTGAGCCCTTGCAAGCGTATCCCAGTGTCGCGTTTTCTTTTTTCTTTTTAATATAAAACAAATCCTTTAATAAATGTTTTAAAAAACAATTTTATACTTAAGCCAGCCTTGAAGATAAGCACAAAACTTACCAGTATATATGTTAATATATATATTAATCCCCACCCAAGAATATTTTTTCCATTGCTTTTCCGAGTAGAAGGGGGAGAGAGAGGCAGAGAAAGAGAAACATTATGTGACATCGAGTGGCTGCCTCTCCGATGACTGACGCCCTAACTGCTGAGCCACCAGTTTATATTTTTAACCCACAACTCAAGCACCCACTCTGTGCATGGCACTAGTCTAGGGGCAATAAAAGGGATTCTTAACCTTAGAAACGCGATTTCACTTTCTGAAATTGTATTACCACCTTTTCCAGGGAGGAAAAATAAATAAAATCACCATTCTTTACTACTGATCTGCCCCAAACTCACTTCAGGCTCAAGGAAAAGCTAATGTCTGCCAAATTTAAGGTGTTTCAATGAACTCACCAATGAGGCATTTTCTGTCATGACGTTTTTATTTGGGGAGGAGTGTTGGTGTTTTTGAACTTGGTGTTTTTCGAGTCAGTGAAAGGTTCTGCCCCACACTGGAATCCCAATGGCGAGAATATCAATGCAAATCCAGCCAAAGGCAGGCCTGCGCTCCGTGCTGTGCACTTTTGCTCTCCTGGTCGCGAAAGTTCCCCCACATTTTGCCTGGGTGCCTATAATCATCATTCCCCTTAGGGGTTAACTTGGTTCTCCTCTAGGCAGGCCGGTGGAAGGACTCTGCCCTGTGGGGTTGACACCATGTGCCTTTCTTACCTGGCAGATCAGCTCCAGGTGAAGCAGCCCTGTCTGTGTTCTACAAGTCAAAAGGATTGCCTCTGGCTGACAGTTTGCACAATCTGAAGGAGAGGAACATGTAATAAATTGGGTCACTCTTCTGTTTAAAACCCTTTGCAACATTCTGTTCCCAATCTTGCAAAGTTCAAAATCTTTTAGGGCTCGGTGGAACCTGAACATCTGACCCATCATTTTCTAGCCCCAGCTCTGGCTGTTTCCCCTGGACTCGCCTCACTCACAATCTAAGCTCCTAGACAGAGGTCTCGCTTTGTCTTATTCTCACTAGCTCGTAGGACAGTGTTGAGTAAGCAGTCGGAACTTAATTAATGCTTATCAAATGTTAATAACTTTTCAAGATTATCACCTTTAACAATCCCCAGGGCTGCATGAGGCCCCTATACAGAGAGGTTAGAATCAGCTACAGATATGGAGATTTACAAGTACCAAGCCTGACAAGCTCAGGGGAGGCCTGCATGGCAGGCCTTAAAAACTCAAGAGACCAAAAGTAACCTCATAGGAGGGTTTGAAAATAAAAATTCCTAACTAAAATCAGGTCGTGGTGAGTAGTCACATCCTAGACCTGTAGCTTCCTTGACAAAGGTCAATCTTTACCTTAAGTGAGCCTATTGTGTTTTTTTGCATCTAAGATAACACCCTTGAAATATCAGAGTAATCCCTTTTCCAGACCTCAGAAGTTACACCCACCGCACCAGAGCACGAGACCACAGAGCCCCTCATTGTTACCTTGTTCCCCCAATACCATCTCTAGGTGCTGGAATAGCTGATTAACAACCCCATACCCACCAATGTATCCCTGTTTTACTCTTTATCACTCTCAGAGCTTTCCCCACTTTGCTTTCTCCTGCTTCCCTAACCTACCACCAATGGATTTCATGTAACTCCCCTTTTGTCTCCTTCGATTGTAATGTATAAAATAAGCTGCAGCCCGGCCGCGCGTGGCTCAGCAGTTGAGCATCGACCTAAGATCCAGGTGATCAGGGTTCGATTTCCAGTCAGGGCACATGCCTGGGTTGTAGGCTCGATCTCCAGTCTGGGGCGTGCAGCAGGCAGCCGATCAATGACTCTCTCTCATCACTGATGTTTCTCTCTCTCTCCCTCTCCTTTCCTCTCTCTGAAATCAATAAAGATATATTTTAAAAAAAAAAAATCTATTAAAATAAGCTGCAAAACTGCCATTCTCCAGAGCAGTTTCTCAGTCCTTTGGGATTTTGCTTCCTGGCAATTGTCAATTTGTCTTAAATAGACCCTTAAAAATTCTCTACAGGTATGGACGTTTCTTACGTCAACACAAGTATTTGAATAATTAACATTGAACCACCATCAATTGTCAATATTGGCAGGGTACGTTTGAGTAAAGGGTAAACACGTCGGTGGGATAACCAGAGATGGCTGGAATTTCATGATTATTACAGGGACTTGATACATTTCACCTCTTTCCATGAATCCAGTTATGGTGATTGATCTCCAATATCCATTTGTACTCCATAGCCCTGGCCAATGAGCATGTGACCTAATCTTTGCCACCAAAATGGGAAGGTTGTGGAGGGTGGCTCTGGGAAAGGTATTCTCTGTCCTAAGAGATACAAAGAAGATAGACCCTTTTCCCTTTGGACATTGCATCTCTGGCTGCTCCTGCCTCCTTTGGGGGCTTCCTTTGACTGCTCCTCGATATATTCCCTAACGTTCTTACCATGCACTGGCACTGTAATACCAGTCACTCCCATGGCTTCAGTTACCACCCATACACTGACTGCTCTGAATCTCTCTCTAAGCTAGTTGTCTCCTGAGCAAACAGGCCTTCTGCATTAAAATTTCCCATAAGCACATCAAATTCAACACATCTAAACCTAACTCGTTGTATCCACCTTTCAGCCTTTGTTTCTTCTCTATTTAAAATGTTGGTGAGCACTGTAACTATCTTGTTAGTTGACCTAACCTGTAGCACTCCCCCTAGGAAGGCCTCCTGGAGGAAGTGATGTCTATCTCCTGCATTTGGTGCTCCTTCACATCTTAATTTCTATTTACCATATGCTCTAATTCCTAGTTCCACCTGTCTCCTCTACTGGACTATGTAAGCCTTGCAAGACAATCTTGTTATATGGCTTTATGCACTGTTCCTGGCACATTACGGGCATTCAATATGAATACTAATATATTCTTTATGCCTAGTGCCTAACACATACGAATGTGAATATATTCTTCTGGATGCAAGGAAAGTTTCCTACCTGGGGGCTCTATCCAGAACCAACTTAAGAGCAAAAATTGAGAAGGTAATTGCTTGCTTTTGTTGTGTAGCCACACAGAACCTGTCCTCTGGGAGTCCTCATTACAGTTGCTCAGCAATCATCTATTCAAAACCATGTATGGGCCTGAGGGGGACCAAGAATAACGAATAGGTGAAAGAAGAAATCACTTAAAAATTCCATTGGGATCTAGGATCACATGCCACCTCAGCTGGTGAGGAGCACGAAGGAGAAGCCAGTTAGAGCTGGGCTCCTGAGCCAGTTTCTCCTGAAGGGGCCTTGCAACCCTTCTTGGTGAAGTTTCACAAACAGGGTCACAGGTGTCCAGAACAGATTTTAGCAGAAGGTCACCAACCTCCCACGCAACAACTCTTGGTGGTCTGAAGGGCTAGAGCTGGAAGCGTGCTCCTTACAACAGGGGCTCAACTCTCCCACGATGGGTGCTTATCAAAGAACAAAGGTAATGGCATACCCAGGGTTGTACAAATTGTTCATTATAACCACAGGAATAAATGAACTCTCAAGAAAGAGTCATCTGCTCGGCTGGTACGGCTCAGTGGTTGAGCACCGACCCATGAACCAAAAGGTTCCCATTCAATTTTTTTAAAAAAGTGTCATCAGAGAAGAGCAGTAGGAATGACTGGGTACAGGGGACAAACTGCTATTAATGAGAAATAAGGAACATCTGAGAGAAAACTGTCAAAGAATGGGTTTTTTTTAATGTTTGATTTTTTTGAGAGAAAGGCAGAGGGATAGAGGGAAACATCTATGAGAGTCATCGATCAGCTGCTTCCTGCATGACCCCTACTGGGGACCAAACCCACAACCCTGGAACGTGCCCTGACCAAGAATCGAACTGGTGACCTCTTGGTTCATGGATAGACGCTCAACCACTCAGCCACCGTGGCTGGGCAAAGAATGGTTTTGAGAATTATTTTTGCAAGTGTCCCAGAAACTAGATTGGTCACTTGCATCAAATACACCTGAGAAGCCAAGAGAACTGACATCTAGGGAGCCCTATGTAACAAGCACTTCTACATTTGTTCTCATGAAAATCTCCCTAGCAGTAAATTGTATCCACTAAACCTTACGTGAAGAGATGGCACCTGGAACACCCTCCAATGCCAGACCTTTGGGAAATTTCTCATTCCTCTTGTCCTACAAGGACCAAGTTAACCACTGCTGGAACTAACCTCTTACCTTGGCCAGCATCTCGAACTATATACCTGAGCTTTACAATCTGCTTTTTCCATCGCTGCATTACCATTTCACATGACTGTTCCCTGCCAGAATGTATCTGGCACAGCAACGAGACTATGAGATGTCACCCTCAGCAGCTCAGGTTAACATTTCTTCACCTCTTTCAAGATGTATTATGACACAGTGGCAAGTCTGGCCTCTTGTTATCAGACGTGGTACCAGCTTCGAGGTGTTGTCCAGGGAGCTTTAAAGACAACACCCCAGAGGGCAGCTCCAACACTTACCAACCCTTTGGTAGCTACTTGAACCTTTAAAGCCCATTTCCTATTCTGTAAATGGGGATATCAAGTGCCTATCTCATGGGGTAACGACGTAGATCATAACGCATATAAAATACCTGTCAGTTTCCAGCACGTATGTACTCCATAGATGTCAAAAAGTGCTAAGGCATTTTTTACTACCTTCAACTTTCTGGAATGATGTTAAATAACAAACATTAAAACTTTCTTACTGTATCTTGGACTTTATCCAAGTTGGCTGTCTTAAAAATTAACCTTCTTTGGCAGTACTCATCAAGCTTTCACCGATTCTGGGTTTCTTGGTTTCCAAGAGATAGCTGAAGACTGTTTCGCACTCCCACTTGTCCTGCTCCAAAAGCAACGCACTTTAAACAGAAAAAGTAAACAAGGGCAATTAGCTTTTCTTTTTTACATCAAAGGAATCACAATCCATTTAATTAAAGATACTATGGAAATTAATCAAACAATATTGACCAAGGGAGATGGCCTGTCATCAAGGCTGAACTTCACCTTGAGATGGTAGTAATGGCTAACATTTATGGAGCAGTCACTGTGTACTTGGTACTGTGGTGAGCACTTTTTGTGTATTACCTCACTTAATGCTCTTTACAGGGAAGAAGTGAGCCACAGAGAGATTAAGCTGTTTGCCCAAGCCATGAAGCAGATACGCAGTGAAGCCCGGATTCAAACCCATTAGCTCCAGAGGCCTCTCTTGGCCTGCATTATGATTTACCACCTTTCTTATCAGTCATACCAGCAAATGAAGCATCACTTCCAGAAACGAAGGATGTTGACTCTGCACAACCTTACGTTCTCTCCACCCAAGTTATTCATTAATGCAGATACAAAGACGTGTAAAAACTGGTAATGACACATAATAGTTCTATATTAAATTTAGTCATAAAATTATATTAATAGTTGAACAATTAATGTCCTATTGAATTGCATAACACCTAATGGAAAGCGAGATTTCATTTTAGTTTAACTTGGGGAAATTAAAAGAACATTCACAACAAAAGAGCAAAACCAAAGCCCACAGCACTTGATAAATCAAGGGAATATTATTTAGTATTCTAGTACACACCAAAATGTGTATCATTAGCAACTTTATTCAATTTTGTATAGGCTTTTAATTTACCTGGGCACTGCACAAAAGGTTAAGGCAAGAAGTGCAGTACTTTAAACACACCACGTAAGACAACCAAACAAGCAAAAACACAGGAGTTATTTTCAAATAAATTGTACCTCAGATTCAAGTATCATAATTCCACTTCTCAGGTTCCTTTATGATAAGTAGTATTATCTAAAACAAAAAAATATTTTGCTTTCAGCAAATCACACTTCATCTCCATCATACATATAAAAAGCTATAGATTCTATAGCTTCCAATACCATAGACCTTGATACTTAATGTTTAAAATCACAAAGCATACTTTGAGTCTTGCATCTTAAAAACATTTTCTCCTTCATTCTAACACTCAACACCCTTACTATGTAATATTAGCAGATGTGTTAACAGTATAAATCAGTAGCAATTGGCCAATGTTTTGAAACAAATATCACTGACTACACAGAAACCCTAATTACCTGAAATCATTTCACAAAAACAATGTCTGCTTTACAATTAAAATCTAACAAAGGTCAACTATTTTCTTCTTTTATAGTTCTCTGTAATTTTGAATATTTTACAACATTTATTTTTACAAGTCGGGGGAAAAACTTTAATTATTGTCCTAAACTCCAAGTTTATTTTGCAAAGCATAAATTTTTACTTTTTTTTTTTTTTTTTTAAGAGAACGGGAAAGGGAGAGAAAATGTGAGAAACATCAACAGGCTGCCTCCCACACACAAGACCAGGGATTGAACCTGCAGTCTGGGCACGTGCCCTGACTGGGAATCAACACTCCGGTGCACGGGACGACACTCCAACTGAGCCACACCAGCCAGGGCAACAGCATAAATTTTTTAAAAATTAAGTGCACAACCAAAATTGATACATGGACTTAAGTTTCACCTTTGTGGTATGATACTGAATGATTAGAAATTAAGCAACTCAATGAAAATAAATAACAAGTGCTAAACACACAAAAAAGCAAAACAACTAATGCAGGAGTTACAATAAAAATCTTTATTTAGGTTTGGTCAGTACAGGGAAGATATACTGGAGTCACAGAGCAATATGCATTAACAGGATACAACAGTCCATAAAAACTGAGTAACTATGCACACAAATTTCTTAAACATTCAGTCACCTAAAGAGAAAATGCACAGATGTATGGTGGAAAAAAACTGTATCTAACACTGAAACTACCATAGGACTCCATCAACAAGTCCAACTTTTAGTGATAAAACTACTGCACTGGGCAAACTTGGCAGTCATACACCCACACCTACTCTAACAAGTCTGAATGGTGCATAAGCATAGTAACAGCATGAGTAAGGATGCCCTACACAGCACAGGTTCTAGAGACACAGATTTATACAGACATCATTGTGTTATACTGAAGGAAAGATTTCCATTTACAACTTCACATTAACTCATATAAAAATAACCTGACCCTACACAAAATGTCCTTTTAGCAACAAAGTAATTAACTGTTACAATTTTCAAAGTGGCAGAGGTATTGAAGCAAAGGAAAAGAAAAAATAAACCACACCCACCAAAAAAGGCAAATTGTGACAAAAGTATGCAGTAATTTTCTGGGTAGTATCCTCTCCCAAATTAAATGACACTGTATAAAAATTTGCTGGAAAAATATTACAAAACTGAACCCTGTACATTTACACTTGAGTCCAAGCCATTCTGAACGTGGCGGGAACCCGCAGTTCGGTTACCTTTCCCACTCACTGTTTTCTCCTCTTGAGGGTCATGATTGGAGTCTGTGTCATTTGAGTGGTGTGTGAGAGAGTTCTCACTGCCCGTGGGTGAGTCTACACTTTCATACCCCGCACTGAGTTGGTTTACGTAACTACTACCTCCTTTGCCAGTTCTCTCCTCTGAGCTGTTGGAGGCCTTATTACCATTCCCTGGAGAAGAAGGAAAGCCATCTTCAGTTGTCTCCCCCTCCCTGTGACATCCAGACCCAGACGTCCTCGGCCGGGAAGAACTGCCATTGCTTGGTCCGTTGGCCAGCCGACTGCAGTCTTTACCTGGGGCCTCTGCCTGTCCTCCAGGCTCGGAAGACGTAGTCCTGCTGGTACTTGGGGCTGGGGCTTGAGACTGCTGCTGTTGGTACTGAGCCAACTGTTGGCGTGTCTCCTTCAGTTGTTGCTGAAGAACCAGAATGGTACTCTGCATGCCCTCTACTTCTTCGTCAAGTTGAATGATGAAGTCATTCAGTTCTGCGCAAAGGAGAGTCAAACCTACTTTAATATCTCTTATAGCATACTTTAAAATACTTCTTACTGCCTGCCACAAAGCCAGATGGTCAATAAATACGTTAAGTGAACAAATACAATTCTAAACTTGATTTTAAAATTTTGCTTGGAATTTTAAAAGTCATTCAAAAATGAGTTTCTTTTGGGGGGGAAGACAGATGGTTAAAATAACTGTATTAAAGCAACCAAGTTTAAATTAACTCAAACCATCTAGCCATATAAAACTGATGACAGCCCACAGAATCTGCTTCGCGCCTGTCTGACCCATGGGTCGACACCCTGGTCCTCTTGCTCATCCTCAGCCAGTGAGTGTTTCCAGCTCCACAGCGGGCCAGCCCCTAGAACCATATGGTGTTCAACTCTAACACTCCAGAAAAGCCTAGGCTGTAACCAAGGGCTTATTCCACATCCCAAAAACCCCAAAATCAAAATCCAGAGAAAATAACTCTTGAAAATTTCTAGAATACAAATGTCCATTAAGTTGTAAAAGCCTTCTGGGGAAGGAAAAAAGTCCTCACTACTACACAAAATCTCCAATTTGCTTTGTTTACAAAGAGTAAGAGCTAAAGAATATCACTTTGAAAATGGAGTTGTAAAGATGTATTTGACTACTGATCTTTGTAATTAACTGTCAGATACAGTAATTCATAATTTCATTTTCAGAGTTTAGATATTTTTCTTACCATTAATCTTCCTCATAAAGATGAGAAACAGCTATATTTGCCCCCAAAACGGATGGCAGCTGACAAGTTTGGTCTGTCCTAGAAATTTAACTGTTGAACCTCATTCAGTAAATAGGACCTCATCAGGCACAATCCACGAGGTGCCTTTAGACCACTGGAAATAGCCACATACTTCCGAGATTTACGAGATAGACTGGTTAAATGAAAATATTCCCTTTTTTAAGCACTGATTATAAATTTATATATCCATGTACTCCCTTGGTAATAATGTAACAGCCTCTCTTTCACCAAATCCCACCCCTGAAAAACAAAAACTTACTATGAAATTACACAATAAACAATCAGAAGAGTGGGAAGAAAACCACTACAATTAAATGGCTTTTATTTACAGACTTAACTAAAACTGTTTTGTTCATAATTCCATAAAACCACTGACCAGGGATTAGCATGTAGAAAACCTAATCTGTAATATTCACGCCTGGCATGTTTTAAAGCCAGTGCGACGTTAACCGAACTTTTCAAAAATCCCCTTACCATCCTGACTGCTTTTAAGCTCCTCACTATATTTCTTCTGTAAAGCCAACTCTGCTTCAAGTTGTGCAATACGTCCCTGGGACAGCTGCCTTCCAAGCTCTTGATTCTCCTGGATAAGCATTCGACACTTCGCCATTAACTTTTTGCCTGTTTGGCTGCAAAGGAAAGAGCCATCCATCACAAAATGAAGACAAAGCAGTCTACAACCTTCTTTGCTTGCAATTAGTACAGCGATACAGTTAACAGGTACAGAACATAACTATGTCACAGCAGATGCCTCCCTGTAATTACCATCTTCCTCTCTGGAACACATCCATCTTCAGCATTTCAGTATTCTGCCAATACAGCAGTAAAAATAAACCCTACACAAAAAGTACCCAAATGGCCACTTTTTATTGCTATTACATTAATAATTCTGAAATCTATTTTATTCCAAATTATCATTTGAAATAGAAACAGGCCAGTTAATTAACACATCTCAGACATACCAATATTAATAAAACACTACGGTACTTAGCTTTATGGAAAAGTTCTAGAAAAAAATGCAACATCATAAATGTACAATTCTTTAAAATACCTAATATATGAAAACCAGTACCAACATAGGGTGTCCCCCCAAAATGTATATACACACTTTGAATAATGATAAAGACAGTGTTTATTAAAATACATTTCCTTTTCAAAATTGAGCTGTCAGTTGTTCAAGTGTGTATACATTTTGGGGGGACACCCTGTATAAATGAGAGTACACTTATTCTCACCAGAATAGCATTTAATAAGGATGCCTCTTAATAGGCAGTTCTAGCAAAAATGTTTATTGCATTAAGGAAGGCTTTTTCAGTAATTGTTTTTAAAGAAGCTTTTAAAAATAAAAGGCTTGAGACTATTTCTATTCACTAATCCTTCACTTAGCCTCTTTATATGATATACTTTTGAGCTGTCTTAAAATATGACATTAAAGTTTTTAAAAATTAAGTATTAAGACGTGTTTAAGATTTTATTTATGTTATAAAAGATTATCCTTAGGACACAAAAGATTTGGGTTACTTATCACAAATAATGCAAATATTTGCCAAATTAGGAGTGCTATATTTTCACAAATTAGTTACCAACTGCTAATATATATATATATATATAGAGTTACCAACCAGTGCAACATACTATAGAACCCTACATGCATGTATACAGCAACAGCAAAAAATGCAATCAAAAGCTCTAACAGCAGTCTCTCTTCTTTAGCCTCAGCAATAACAATAGAAATGACTTTTAAATGCACCTGACAAATATATAATTGTGATTGTTACCCTTGAAGTTTAATAGTCTTGTGATGGCATTAAGTTCAGAATGACCATACTGGTTAAAAAGATTGTTTTGCTGACACTTTCTATTTCTTCCTTCTTTTAGTGAGGTTTTCGCTTGCCCAACCTATTATTTCAGAATGCATCTGATTCTATTAAGCCTCAGAACTTTTAAATGGGAGCACTTTATAAATGATTCTCATTCTTTTGACTCAGCATTGCAAGGTTCTTTTAGTGAGAAGTACCAATTCTAACCTAGTTTCCTTATGCAAACCTGTGAAGTACAACCTGGGTTACTACTGCTCAAAGGAGCCTCAGGTGAAAGCCGCCAGTCAGCACCTGGTAAGGGTTTTATTCTCTACGTGGCAACTTTATTAGGTACTGTACTTGTTTGTTGCTACTGTTGCTACAGATAGCTCCCATTTCCCCTTAGCATCCTCAGACCTGCGCATCCACCTTAACAAGAGTTTAGAAATCAAACGAGGAATTAAACAGGCAGCACCATCAAAAGACATTGTTGTGCCTTCCTCCCACAACTTTTTCTTGCTAGGTATGTAATATCAGTGTTTTCCAACTAACCTGAAAAATCTTCTATACAAACTGAATAAAGACTAGGGGGAAAAAACAACCAAAATCAATACATTAATTTGTGACCTGACTTGATCTCATAAAGTAGCAAAAATTCTAATGCAAAAAAATTTCATTTATGAAACCATATCTTTTTATAAGTGCCCGTTCTCAGATAATCCTATCACTTCTAAAATTGATTACTAAGACAAATCTTAACAAACTGCTGTTCTTTACACATTCTGTAACTTTGTCATTTTACTAATATGTCATGTGAAATTTGTGTTGTGTTCATTATATCACAAAAAC